GCGGTAGATTGTAACGAATAACAAACTAGTAGGCCTCATAGCACTTAAACATAACAATCACGAAAATAAGTGCAGAATAAGAATTAAACAATAAGAAAAACTATTTAGAGCTCACAATATGTGGTTCCGAAGTTTCAATTTCCTTCGACCAAGTGTAAAAGTTTAGTTACAATTCATGAATTTAAGAGAGAAATAATGAAGAATGGAGTTTGGAGGCATTTTGTACGTTCTCCACCCCCCTCCCACCCGTTCTAGGGTTTTAAAATATGTATTTATAGTTGTTTCCATAAGTAGTTGACTTAAATTCGAAAACTGGAGATTCGTCTGTGAAAAATACCTGTGCGCACGCGCCGTATATTTCTTTGCCCGTGCGCCGTTCATTGGTTTTAGGCTCGGTAAGTAAAATTCATGTCCGTGTACGCGCGAGAGAATTTGCCTGCGCGTGCTCAGGTTTGTCTCTGCATAGCATTCAGTGTTTTGGTTATAACTTTCTCCAAAGGTATTCGATTGAGCTGATTCAAAATGCATTGGAAAGATAACGCAAAGGGCTACAACTTTGCTTCAAATACCATCTTCCAATTCGATCGTTTTCCATGTCAAAAATGGGTCTCAAACTGAGACTGAAAATTCGATGCACAACCTTTCGATTGGAAATTGATGTGTGATCCTACTTTGACGATATTTCACCACTTTGAATTCTTTCTTCATCCAATTGACCTCTAACGCTCTCAAATCTTCATTATGAGGTTCAACATGGCTTTTGAGTATTTTCACTTTAGTCCCCGAACTTTCGCTTTCTTTCATTTTGGTCTTTTTCTACTTATTTCTTCCAAATTACGCTATATCCATCAAATTGCCACCTAAACCAAAATATGAGATTAATAAGTACATTTTTGGCATAAAATAATCATATGAACACATAAAATATGGAGGGAAAAATATGCATTTTACATTCCTATCATGTGTGGATAATAACCTTTTTTTTATACTAGTGTTGGCCCGTGCGATGTACGGAATTTCTGATTTTGAAGGTTTCGTT